TTGTGTCGCATGTTCAGTTTGGTGTTAGAACTTTAAAAATAAGGTTTTGTGGTCATCTAACTTAACTCAAGCATAGAGATACAGTCACAATACGCGTATGCGAGCATACCCATGCGTATGGCCCCACTTGTTGGTGAGTGATAGCACTATGGGTGATGTATTTTTACACAAAACACCCTCATAATTTTTATATTTGTTGAAAAATTCAACAACCGCGACGCATGTTTGCACAAAAATCCCTCACATTTTTTATGTACAAAAAAACAAACCACGGTAGTGCACATATATGCGAAAATTAACACAAAAAGTACCCCAGGATTTGAACCTGCGACCAACTGAGTTAACACGTGACGGTCTAGCCGTATGGATAACGAACATATATGCGGGAGAATATCATATGAAAACCAACATTTGGTGAGAATGATAAAGACCACACGAAAATAACGTTGTAAAGTGTCAAAAAATCTAAAAGATGAGGGATGTTAAGAGGGTGATCTTCTATTGCCATGCAAAATTTCAAATTCAAACACATTACGAGATGTGAGCTATGAAAAAAACCCAACAATGAATAGTGCAAAACAGTAGCGTCACTATTCATTGCTGAATTTGTCTTTTTCATAGCTCGCAAACCATAACATGTTTTACTTGAAATTTGACATGGCAATAGAACATCATTCTCTCAACATACCACATTTTTATAGATTTTTTTGAAACTTTCAAACATGGTTTTCATGAAGTTTTCATTGAATGATGGTTTCTGTATGATATTCTCCCCATATATGTGTTGAACGAGGACTCAGATGGAGCTTAAATGGGATGTCTATACTTCATTTTACACGCGCTATTTTTTAAAAAGATATTTGTAGACCGTAAGTAGTAAAGTTATGTTCAAATATTTTGCGTGCTAAAAATATTGTCCATGGAAACAATGATTCTATACCTATTAATAAAGCAAGGTGTGTTTTTTGAAAAAAAATTCATCCTCTCACCATATTATTATTATTATTGGGCCATGTCTATGATTCTTCCTATTGGGCCATTTGGCCAGCATTCGTTCTACCATTTTCCTTAATTAATAGTACCACTTTGCTAATTTACACGGGATCCCGCCAATTTATATATGGCCCAAATAGAGAATGAACAAGCCTCTTTGGAAATAAACAAAAAAGAGGATGAGGTGTGGCTATAATCTAGCAATGACGGACCCAGTAAAGAAGGAATGAAAGTTATGTGGAGGATTGAGGTGTGTGGCTATAACATATGAATATTTCCTCTCCCATTGATATACACTGGCCAGACGTTAGACTTGAGAGTGAAGCAAGGACGAGCTCGGGATGGCAGCGTAATGTATCAAATAAAAGATCTGGATATGTGAAATCTTGAACCACCTGTGATACTTTTTTCGTTGCAACACACTGGCCCCTTTGCTATTAGTATATAAAAACATTTAAATAAAAACTTTTCTATTATATATAAAACATTTAGTAAAATATACGTTATAAAGACATTTGTATAGTTTAATGTTTGTCTGTTAATTTTTTGGTACATACAGACGATGATTAGTAAATAAAAACATTTAAACATAAATCTATGTATTGTACAAAATTATTTAATAAAATATTTTATAAACCAGATATTATATAAACATGTGTGTTATATAAATGTGTGCATTACATATTTGGTTTTCAAAACTACAATTCAAAAATATTATTTTAATCATACAAACATTTCAATACTTATAAAGACATTTGTATAGTTTAATGTTTGTATATAAAAATATTCATGATTTAGAATTTAAACTATTAATCTGGATATTCAATCGTAGTTAATATTTATTTATTTTTTGAATATAAGACATGAGTACAAACTATACAAAAGTGAATATAAATAAATATTTAGTAAATGTTTGTATTCATCATTTTGTAGAACTTAAAATATAAGCCGCAAGTGTATATGTTTTGGATACATTAAAAATACTTATTTAATAAACATTTTCAATGTCCGTATTAACTAAATATATTTTTTATACAATACACAAGTTTATATTTATTTATTTTTATTTACTAATCATCGTTTGTATGTATAGTATTTTTGACACACAAATACTTGAATATAATTTTCTTACTTATGTTTTACAAATATGTTTAATGTTTTTATTAGTTACATTTTACTAAATATTTTTTAGATAATATATAGGCTTATATTTAAATGTTTTTATTTACTAGTCATGGTTTGTATGTTTAATATTTTTAACACACAAATATTTGAACATAACTTTATTTTTTACGTTTTACAAATATCTGAAAAAATTAGCACGCACAAAATGGGCCGCAGTATATATAAGTTTGTTATCCATATTAGAGCAGTTGGTCATGGGTTTGGGTCTTGGCGGACCATTTTTTGGTGTTAATTTTTGCATATGTGTGCACTACTGTAGTCTGGTTTTCAGTCAATCAAAAAATATGAGGGAGTTTTGTGCAAAAATGCGTCACAAAAGTTTACTCTTTTTTATATGAGGGTGTACTGTGTAAAAAAATACAACTGACAGGTGAGGGCGTAACATGGTTACGCCCGCATACCGGCATACACATATTGTGATAGTATCTGTACGCTTGAGTCAAGTTAAGTGATCACAAAACCGTATTTTCAAAGTTCTAGCACCAAACTAAACATAAGATGCAAGTCTATGACTCCCAGTAATATTACCTCTTGAGGCGCCGGCTTTGTTCATTCTTTTCTTTTTCTTTTTTGACTTTTTATTTCTTCCCATTTTTTGTGGTTTTGTTTGTGTGGTTTTCCTTGTCTTTGTTTTTTACTTTTCCTTTATGTTTTGTCAATTTTTCTTTCCATGTGCTTTTATATTATTTATATTTCAAATGAATACTTTTAAAATTTTGTGAACATTTCTAAAATCCAAATAAATATTTCATAAATTATCATCAAAGTTTCCAACTAATTCATTAAATTTTCAAAAAACAATAATGTCTTCAATATCGGTGAACATTTTCTGAAATTCCAAAACATAAGTTTCATCAACCTATGTTTTCCTATTTTTAAACCGCTTGTATCAGAGTATCCATTTAATTTTTTTAATGAAACGTAATGATAGGTGGTGCCGGCCCACTGGTGCTTTTTTTCTAGGGGCGCCCACTGGTGCTGAGGGTGCGCAACTGGCCGGTGCGCGGAATAGGAGGTCTTAGTACAAGTTCAGCCCAGAATGAATCGAGTGACATGCGCCGACACATCTATAAATAGACTGTGACGAGCCCAGGAGCCAGTTTTAGCTGGCCCACCGGCCTAAGAGGAGATACACAAACTTTCAAACTAGCCCTAAAAAAACTTTCAAACTGAGAGTATGCAAAGCATGCATACCCTACCTGCCATAATGTGCACGGCAGTTCAAGTGGGGATGATCATGCATAGTCATCATCACCAATTCATCACTACTATTATTGTCTAGCTTGGGACCGAACCGAACTACCAGTAGTTAGCAGCTAAGAAATCACAAAAGTGCAGTGGAGTATTTCCAAGTCATTCCAACACAAGAAAGAGAGTGACAACACATGGCACCAATCATGATCCACCTAGATTAATTAGCACACAAAAGCAATCACCAAGTTATTAAGAGGAGTAAGTTTTTTTCAGGGGAATTAAGTAAAATCTTCTTTTTTTTCTAGACAGTGACCTAATTAAAAAAACAAGAATCAAAATGGACCCAACCCAACCCATGCAAGTCGTCCATGTCTCCATGTGGTGGGTTCGGCCTTTGGGCCTACTCGATCATTATTCGCTCTAGCTGCCTGCTACCCATCGGTGGTAATTCACATCAACATCATCCTCCCCTAAAAAAAACATCAACATCATCCACAACAACGGAA